CTTCCTTTTTTTTTTGGTCTTATTTGAGTTCACATCAGTCAGACTTCTAAACAGCTGATCCCCAGGTCATAAACAAACGACATGGTCTCAAGTGTATCACCCAGGCCATCGGTGTTGATGAAGTACCTCATCTGTCCACAGCTCCGTTTCAGGAGCTGGGGCAGCTGCATGTGACAAGATGTGATCCCTGCCGGTGACCTAGACGAGGCTGGTCACAGACGAAACTTTCCCTGGTAACGTTACATACGGTGCGCGGCCTGTTCGAAGTGGGGAGGGGAGACGGTCATTCCAACGGGACTTCAGAGCAGGGAGTCCCCAGCGACGCTGCCTGGAACATTTGTCCCCCACAGCATCCTGGGGTAAGAAAGGGCTTAATTTAAGGCCTGAAAAGTTGCAGGGACATCATATGGCATATGGTCCTTCGGGGATATCCGATGTACACGAGTATCTGACTGGGCCTGAGACACCTCACAGAGACTTCCTAAGGTACTCATTTGTTGAATGCGAGGTTTCTTAAGCATATTTGCCTGAGAAACGCCCCTTCTCCCTCAGGGAGAACAAGAATGCTTGGTTAGCGTCCCATGGAACCACACTGCCCCCTGTGGTCAAAACCGGCCAGGACGCATAACCAACCTGGGCCCTCAGGGCCTTCCTCCCTGGAAGCAGCCTGTGAGGGTGAGGGGCAGGCGTGCGACCCTGAGGCCTCTGCCTCTACTTACCCTCCAGTGTTAGCCCTCTTCATGGGCCCCCTCCCCACCCCTCTCCCTCGCCTGCAGGCTTAGGTCCCTCATGATCTGCCTGCTCCACCCCGGGGCTCCAGCCCAACGGCTTGCCCTGCTCCCCCAGAGCCCGGCCCCAGGGGCTGCGCCCTCCCCAAGGCCCTGCGCCCTCCCCCCGCCCAGGCCCTGTGCCCTCCCACATGCCTCCCAGGCCCTGCGCCCTCCCCCCCATGCCCCAGGCCCTGCGCACTCCCAGCCTTGCGCCCAAGCTCCCTCGAAGGAGACTGCCTTCTCCAGGAAGGTCTGACTTCTGTGGAGGGAAGAACTGTGCCTTTTCTTCTCTTCCCACCTTCCCTCGTGCCCAGAGCCTATCTGCCTCTCCCTTCCTGCTCCCCCTGCTCGCCCGGCTATATCAGGTTGCTGAGAACACAGTCGGACCCCCTTCTCACTCTGGGTGCCCTGAGCCACGGGCTGCTCACCCCACTCATTTCTGAGCACAGAAATCCTCTCTTCAACATTCGGTTCCGGGCTTAACAGAATCAAACTTCTCTTTCTAAAAATAAGACCGAGAGCAGAGAGAGGCCCAAGCGGGCAGGAAGCAACTCACGTGGCTGCATGGCTGCAAGTGCGGGGGCCCATTCCTGCTCCCCTCAGGCGCCAGCCCCCCCAGGGCATTTCCGTCCCCACCTCCAGGCCAGCCGCCAGCACGGGCAGGGGAGGGGAAGGGAGGGGCTCCTCCTCTGGGGGTTTGTTAGCAAAACTGCTGCAATTGCATCCTGTCCAGGGCAGAGAAGGTTCAAATGGAAACCCACAGGCCCACTGCTCTGTAGCATGAGTCACTCTTGAGCACCAGGGTTTTAGACTCAGGAGAGAGCTGTGGTTTGACAGAAAAAGACCCCAGACAAGGATTTTGGAGACGCCAGGTGGAAATAAAGCCAAGGCTGGCTTTCCGCAACCTGCACGTTACAGAACAAGCCTTTGGTCAGGCGCTCATCCAGTGACCCCCGGGATGCCCCCTGCCCCCAAACACCTGAGGACTCGCTGTCCTCTCTGGCAGTACCCACCACCCTCATCCTCCCTCTCCCCATTACCCAGCAGCCCCCCTAGCATGCCCCAGGCCCCACCACATGCCCCTCAGGTTCCCTCTGCTCTCCAGGTCCTTCTCCCTACCTTTGCCTGCCTAATTTCTAGCCAATCTGCCAGGCTCAGACAGATTCTCCACAAACTGTTGGTTAAAAACATGAGCTCTGGAAACGACCTGGAGTTTGAGTCTCTGCTCTGCCACTCACTAGCTGCTCCGTCTTAACACAGTGGCTGGGAGATCCCAGTTGTGCCTAGCTGTGTGGCCTTGGCTAAGTTACCTAACCTCTCTGTGCCTCAGCCTTGTCATCTATAAAATAATAAAAGAGTGCCTATGTGTCATGCTTTACGTGGATGTGGTAGGGATTCCATGGGGTAACAAAGGTCAGCTCCTGGCACGTGGTAAGTGTACAGAAAGCATTAGCTATCTAGAGAGGACACATCCACTCCCTGGTCAATAAAGGCTGCCCTGACTCCCGGCAGCAGTCCCTTGTGTGGTGGCATCTCCCACTGGAGAGGCTCGGCTCACATCCTCTTCCCTTGCTCTGAACTTTTCTGACACATGAAGGTTTGTCCCAACCGCAGGGCTCTGCCCTCTTTGCTCAGGGCCCTGGCTCAAGTGTTTGCGACCTTCTCCAAGGTCCCCAGTGTGGGTCAGTCTGACTGAGCTGCACAGAGGATGGGAATTCCTACAGACAGCTTCCAATCCCTCACCGGCCACTCCCATGCCTTGCCGTATCTGTGTGCTCAGCCCCAGCACACCTGGGAGAACGCAGGAACGCTCGCTCCACTCCCTCCTTGACCACACCATCATCTTGGCCGTCATCAGTCCCGTCCCCATCTTAGTCAAGTCAGAGACAGAAAACAAAACAAAACAAAACACCCATTTGCTTAGAGATCCTACATCCCCACTTTAAGAGGGAAAATAATCCTCCTAGTTATGACACAGACCAGGGACACTCTCCGTTGCCATGGTGATTCTTTGACATGGCCCTCTTGCAGATTAGAAATGCCTGGCACATAATCATCAAGACAGTATGGTACTGGCACAAAAACAGACTCATAGATCAATAGAACCGAATAGAGCCCAGAAATGGACCCTCAACTCAATGGTCAACTAATCTTCGACAAAGCAGGAAAGAATGTCCAGTGGAAAAAAGACAGTCTCTTCAACAAATGGTGTTGGGAAAATTGGACAGCCACATGCAGAAGAATGAAACTGGACCATTTCCTTACACCACACACAAAAATAGACTCAATATTATTGAAAGACCTAAATGTGAGACAGGAGTCCATCAAAATCCTAGAGGAGAACACAAGCAGCAACCTCTTCGACCTCAGCCACAGCAACTTCTTCCTAGAAACATCACCAAAGGCAAGGGAAGCAAGGGCAAAAATGAACTATTGGGACTTCATCAAGATAAAAAGCTTTTGCACAGCAAATAGTCAACAAAACCAAAAGAAAACCGACAGAATGGGAGAAGATATTTGCCAATGACATATCAGATAAAGGGCTAGTATCCAAAATATATAAAGAACTTGCCAAACTCAACACCCAAAGAACAACTAATCCAATCAAGAAATGGGCAGAAGACATGAAAAGACATTTTTCCAAAGAAGACATCCAAATGGCCAACAGACACATGAAAAAGTGCTCAACATCGCTCGGCATCAGGGAAATCCAAATCAAAACCTCAATGAGATACCACCTCACACCACTCAGAATGGCCAAAATTAACAAGTCAGGAAACGACAGATTTTGGCGAGGATGTGTAGAAAGGGGAACCCTCCTACACTGTTGGTGGGAATGCAAGCTTGTGCAGCCACTCTGGAAAATAGTATGGAGGTTCCTCAAAAAGTTAAAAATAGAGCTACCCTACGGCCCAGCAATTGCACTACTGGGTATTTACCCCAAAGATACAAATGTAGGGATCCGAAGGGGTACGTGCATCCCAATGTTTATAGCAGCAATGTCCACAATAGCCAAACTATGGAAAGAGCCCAGCTGTCCATCAACAGATGAATGGATAAAGAAGATGTGGTATATATATACAATGGAATATTATGCAGCCATCAAAAAAAAGGGAAGAAATCTCGCCATTTGCAATGACGTGGATGGAACTGGAAGGTATTATGCTGAGTGAAATAAGTCAATCAGAGAAAGACATGTATCATATGATCTCACTGATATGAGGAATTCTTAATCTCAGGAAACAAACTGAGGGTTGCTAGAGTGGTGGGGGGGGTGGGAGGGGTGGGGTGGCTGGGTGATAGACATTGGGGAGGGTATGTGCTATGGTGAGTGCTGTGAATTGTGTAAGACTGTTGAATCACAGATCTGTACCTCTGAAGTAAATAATACATGTTAAAAAAAAAAAAAGAAGATAGTAGGAAGGGAAAAATGAAGGGGGGGAATCAGAGGGGGAGAAGAACCATGAGACTATGGACTCTGAGAAACAAACTGAGGGTTCTAGAGGGGAGGGGGATGGGAGGATGGGTTAGCCTGGTGATGGGTATTAAAGAGGGCACGTATTGAATGGAGCACTGGGTGTTAAAAGCAAACAATGAATCATGGAACACTACATCAAAAACAATGATGTAATGTATGGTGACTAACATAACATAATAAAATAAAACAACAAAAAAAGATCTGATAAAAAAAAAAAAAGAAATGCCTGGCACTTTTCTGAGTCTGGCTTCCCCCAAACAAGGGCCCTGGCCAAAGAGTCTGCACCCCCTCCCTCCAGGAAGGAAAAATCCCTGCAGGTTGCATCTCTGGCTCAGCTGTCAGAGGTGAAGCTGATCTCCTGGGGTCAGGTCCCCGTCAGAGCCAGAGAGCAGCATATATACCGACCCTGTATTTAGCTGCAGAACCTTCCAGCGAGGTAACACCCATGGTCAGCAAGCCCCAGGCTGCTTGTCCAGGGGGCCTGCTTCTTTCAGGGGAAAATCATGCATCATCCTACGTACGGCCTATTTCTCTGAATTTTCTTTGGAGTCAGCAAAGCTATAGGGAGCACAAAGTCCCCGCGGCTTGGCCTCTGGCGCGCGCACACACACACACACACACACACAATTCCTCTAACACACGTTAGGTAAGCGTGGGGTTGTATTCAAGGCAGAATTTCCCTCCCATGACAAGAATACATTCTGGTCCCTCCTCCTCCCCCCCCATTCCCATGTGACTCTCACGCAGGTTCATTCCTTTAAAAGTTTATTTCTGGTGAATTAAAAAAAAATAATTTATGCGACCAGATCAATAAAGACATCATGACATGGGGCAGAGCTTAACTTTCCTGTTTGCTTCTAGATTTTGCAGCCAGGTGAGAAGGTGACTGAGGGAAACCCAGCCTCATGCTCTGTGGAACCAGGAGGTGCCGACGCTGACAGGGTGACTGAGAGAGGGTGGCTTATGGGAGGGCTAGGAGGGGGGCTCGTAGGAAGGCCAGATCCCAACCTCTTTTACAGAAATGTCTCTTCATCTTGTTTTTTTAATGAGTCAACAGAAGCTCTGTCACATGCCTGTTCCTAACGACCATAAACATAGCAAGCAGACACTCAGGAAGATGGAGCAGTAGTCTCAGGGACTTGGGGACCTTGTCGGGGAAGACAACTTCCCCCTACTGAGGCCAGCACCCGGAAGGGACCTTGGGGAGTTGGCACCTGAGCCCCTAGCACAGCTGTCAGGCTCTTTGGGTTTCTGAATGCTACTGCTTCTTCACCTGATGGGAACGTTTGCCCCCAACTCCCTGGTTCCCCTGAGTCTCTCAGAGGTGGCTACTCCCTTGGTCGGCAGAGGGGACACTTCCTTCAGGGGTCTGAGAACTGAACACGCTCAGAGTCTGTGCTGGGGTCCCAAGGCCAGAACCCCCAGAGGCCCTGCCACAGTCCAGAACCTCAGAGCTGGGGGGAGATGTGGGGGTTCACTGCTGAGGCGGTGGTGACTCGGCCGTGAGGTTTTGGCCCAGGGATCGCTTTGGTGGTGGGGTTCACTCTCTTGGGGGGTGGCGAATTTTGGTATTAATAAATGGGTAAATTAGGAATGGGCTTTGGTTATAGAAACTCACGGACTGATGAAACACCCAGAAAGCACTCAGGGAAAGCCTCTGCGAAGCCCAAAGAGTTTTCCGTGATAAAGCGTTTGCTGTGGTTCAGGAGGCTCCTCTGCAGGGGGCCAGGGGGCCCCGACACAGGGCTGCACGGCTGCCCAGGCCTCACGGTACTCTGCCGCTGAGCACCCCCACCACCCCTGCGGGCACGCCGCCAGGGTTTGAGCAAGGGTCCCCAACTGAATGCAGTTGCAAGCACCCTTGCTCAAAGCCTCCGAGAGGCAGCACCAAGCAAAATCCAAACTCCCGCATCACTGAGCAGTTCTGACGTCAGCTCAGGTTCCTGTTTTGACCTTCCGAGATAGAAATCTCCAGACTCGAAGCTCAGCTGAAGGCTTCGAAGCCCGGTGTTAGTTCCCGTCACGGGGCACACACCTGCTCTCCCTTCGCATGGAGGGAAGCATTTCTATGCTCCAGGCCTGGGACCATTTTTACCATGAAACCATCTTCTTGTTAGATGCTCCTCAATGAAATCTCGCACCCCAAATGCGACTCATCTCTGCTTTATCTCCCTTTGAAGAAGAGCCAGAAGCCCCCTTCATGCCATTTGGGGTCACGTGCCCATGAAATAACTCTCAAAGCACAGTCTTTCAACCGTTTCATGAAATGGGAAAAGACTAAGGCAGCCACGAGGCCATTCACATATATGTATGCAGTGTGGACGAGGAAAAAGCCAGCACCGCGCCCGGTGATACGGGGAACCAGCTTCCCCAAGCTCCTAGCAGCAGAACCCCCCGAGACAGGAGCTTACGTATACAGGTCCTACAAAGATAAACTTCGATCCATGCCTGTTCTCTCAAGTTGTCAAGGACAGGCCTTTCCACTGGCCTGTCTCTAGGTTTTTCTGTATCAAATGCAGTAGAGGTTTTCAATGACTGGGGCAGGGAGAGAGAACTCACTGCCTGTCCCTGCCCAGCTCCTGGGATGCCGGGAGGTGACAGGGGACATGGGCAAGGGGAGAAGCACATACACAGTCTGGAAGAAAATATGGTGAAGGTGGGCCATGGAGGGGCTCCCCAGGTCCTGCTACAACGAGGCCATTAACACACCTTGACTCTGAGCCTTCTGGTCTGATGAACAGTCTCTGAAACACCCTGTGCCCGTCCGTGGAATGTCTCTTGGGGAGACCCCCACCCTCGTCCATGGGGCCCTCAGTTTTCATTCTGAGGTCTGAGGGGCTGCAGCCCAGGGCAGGGATGAAGGGTTGTCCTAGCTACACTCAGGGAGAGCCAAGAGTGTGCTAGAATTTCCCTGAGAAACTCAGGGCTCTGCTGCTCCCTCCTCTTCAGAGTTGGGGCCTCCATCCCCCCCAGTTCCCTACATACTCTCTCCACTTGCTTTTTATTTGCACTGTATTTCCTCTAACTTCCTACTCGTCTGGGAAAAACAATTCTATGTATAGCACTCATAAGTCTCTCATAAACATGGGACACTGTCATAAGTTTAATTGAATTTTAAAACTACGACATGGGCTAGAGGCTACTAAAGCAGGACTGTGGGGCAAGGCCGAAAAGACCAAAGCATCCACTTTTACCCTGGCTGGGATCCAGAAGTCATACTGTGGAGGAGATAGGAGATGGGACACCATGTCACTATAGGGCAGTGGAGGATGGCTATCTTCAAAACCCACGTGCCTCCATCACCACTGTCTTCCCCTCGTGAATTCTCTCAAAAACACTTGCTATCTGGCATTAGTATCTATTCCACAAGCCATTCGTCCTTCACGTACTGTCTTGATTAAAGGCTCAGATTAAAGGTAACTTCAAGGTCTTAAAATGCCCTTTTAAAGGAACAGGCTCTGAAAGGAGAACAAAAAAAGGGGGGGGGGATGAAATCCTGAAGTGTGGCATCCAGAAGACGGACTCTGGAAATACCACATGCCTTTCCTTGTAAGACGCACTCATCAGCACAAGTATCTTGTTAAAGGTTCATGTGGATTGTAGGATGCATCTAGATTTTAAGAATATTAAGACACAGAAAAAGTGTCCACCCTGGGAGGCAGGACAGGTGACAGATTTTGAAAGCGATGCCTTGCAACCCAGAAATCTAAGCATTTTGAGAGCAGAGGAGCCAATGTAGGACCGGGAAGGTGGAGTCGCCACGGCATTGCTTTATTCTAGCTGAATCCCCACCTCGAATGCTTCGGAGGGGGACATTGTGCAGACTGTCACCTGGAGGCCGTGGGTTTGTGTGGGTGAACTTGTACGAACTGAAACAGCTCTGCAGACGAAGGAGCCCACATTTTATTACAGCCCCTGCTCACCAAGCCCTGGCAGTCCCCCGTACTTCTGCCCTTTGGATTATGGAGGAAAAAAATAATTGTCCGGTTTTCTGGGCCACAGAACACAAGATGGGTCTAGATTGCACAAGGAGCTTACACACGGAGGCAAGAAAGCGTGCAAATGGGAGCAGGAATTCTCCACCCTCTGAGGGAGCCAGTGCTTGAGACACCGAAGGACCGGAGTTACCCTCCTGGAGTCCACACTGGTTTATGTTTCTGGCTTTTATTAACTGTGTCCAACTCCAACTTCCATCTTCTCCTGAGAGGGAGAACACTACCTAGGACATGAGTGATTTTCCCCAAGCCATTATTTTTTTCCTCTTAAGATTTCACAGAAGGCCCAGGAGCGGGGCCTAGAGAAGGACCAACGAAAGCAAAAGTGTCTGAAAACCACATAATACTGACTTCTCTTTCTTGGTAACAGTTCACGAAACGTGCGCCCCTCTCTCCTGAGATATGGTGAGGCATGAGGGGAGGTGGCGAAGGAGCTGTGGGTGGGACACTGTACCGTGTGACATCACGATCATGCAGCCGGTGCCCTACGGGACAGAGACGTGAGAATGAGCACTCAGGGCTCTGGGCTGGCCCCAGGGGTAAGTGCCCAGCCTTTCGGGAACACGGTCTGTCCAGTTCTTGCAGAGCCATCCCCTGGGGCATGCCATCTTGGCTCTGGCCTTATCCTTCGTCCTCCCTCAGCTCAGTGGGTAGGAATTTATACTGTTGTTGGCGGATCTGGGCCAGTTTTTTCCTTGCTTCTTCCAGTTCTCGTTCTTTTTTCAACATTTCCTCCTGGGCGGCAATGATCTACAAGGAAAGCAACAAGCTGGATGGATCTAAAACCTTCCAGAAAACTGCCCTCCCCAACTCCACTGCCTGTCTCATGAGCTCGCACAGCCTCTGCTATAGGACAACACAGCAAGACACTGGGACTAAGTATTTTAGCTCTGGAGACCAGCCTCTGGGCCACATCCTGGGTTTTGAGACCAATGACCCAGTTGACCCACGAAATAAGCTGACTTTTGGCCAGTGATTTAACAGCAAACATCTACTGCATCCCTACTGTGCACCAGGTGCTGGGGTAAGCACTTCATGTTGAGTGTTCTATCGTCTTCATGGCAACATGGTGAAGTCGTCCCTATCAAGTGTCCCATTTTTCCAATGAGGAACCTGAAGCTGAGAGATGTGGGTCCACTTCCCTGAATACCCAGCTAGTGGAGCAGGACCTGGCCAAGTGTCCCTGAAGCTGAAGCTGGAGTCCTTAACCATGTGACAGCTTTCATTTATTTGTTTCATCCTTCTATGATATGATCAGAGGAATACTGGTTAATAGATACCAGGTAAAAAAAGGTTAAGCTTGTGTTCAAGAAAGCCAAGTAGATTTCTTCCCTATGGGCCCTTTCAGAGCCTTTCCTAGGCTAATGATCACTATGATAGTCCGAGGTGGAGTTAGAGAGGACAGGATTTCCCACACTTATTTGATCAGTGGTCCTTCCTCATGGAACCTCTCATGGAACTAGTGTATCAAGAAATAGATTCTGGTAGAAATGCATCCAGTGTATTTCCAAACACAGGGAATGGTTCAGGAAGAGCTAAGGAAGGCATGGGGATGAGTAACTTCCTAACACTGATAAGAAAGCCAATCTTGGACGCCTGCGTGGCTCAGTCGGTTAAGTGTCTGCCTTCAGCTCAGGTCATGATCCCGGGGTCCTGGGATCGAGTCCTGCATCGGGCTCCCTGCACAGTGGGGAGTCTGCTTCTCCCTCTGCCCCTCCCCCGAGCTGGTGCTCGATCGCTTTCATTCTCTCACAAAAATAAAATCTTAAAAAAAAAAAAGAAAACCATTCTTGTATAATGGATTTATATCAACACATACCCCAAACTGCAGGCCTGATTTCCTGAAGTTTGCTCCTCACTACCATGCTCAAGAATGCAATCCTAATAAGCCAGAAGCCTGTTTACTCTTATCTAAATTCTGTTAAGGGGTTACCATTCATTCTCTCTGTAGGGCCAAATATCTGGAGTGGAGTAGTAGCTCCAAATCCATCATTTTATTTAAATGATAATGCTATTGTCTTCTAACTTCTCTTCTTCCCCTTTTCTATAACAGAGTCCCTGATTTGGGCTGGGCAGAGGGCTCCTCAGGAAAGAATACTACGTTTCCCAGCACCTTTTGCAGCTGGGAAACCTGCACTTCTGTGCAGGTTGGCCACATGACTAAGTCCTGACCAGTGGCACATGAGAGGAAACGAGGGTGGTTAGTGACCCATCTTGGACCAACTGGCCAAGGCAACGTCTCAGGGATGGTGGGGCAATAAGGCAGATGGAGCCTGGGGCTCAGATACAAAGGAACCAGTGTACCATCACAGACTGCTTAGACCCAGACTATTTCACAAGGGAGAAATACACCTCCATCCTGTTTAAGTCGTTATTATTTTGTATCTTTCTTATAACAATGCCCATCTCCGGAGTAAACACTCTCTGGATTTAATCACAAACCTGAGCAATGCCCCCTACAAACTTTGTTTTCACTACAACATCATCATCATCAGCTTTGCCAAATGCTGCTTTCTGGGCTGCACGAACAAGATTATCTGAGGCTCTTTTCACAGCATTTCCTGCTGCCTGGAGAGGGAGAAAAAAACATATATTGTATCATTAGAAACGGCCAATTTGGATTCAGCAAGAATAGACATGAAAGTACAGTTCATGGAACTCTCAACCGATTTATCACCCTATCATCCAATGATAACACAGCATTTCTCTTTCCTTGGTATCCATCTGCCTGTCCAGCCGTCCATCTATTCTACCAACACTGGCACTTACCTAACCTTAGGTCATTCACAGAGAAATGAGATACAGTTCCTGGCTCCCAAGGAACACATACTTTTGAGGGGGGATTATACTTATGTAAACAGATGACTGTAGCAATGTGAAATGTGTGTTAACAGATGCAGGTCCAGGGCTTGTCTCCTTGGTCTAGAACACTACCTCTCCCTGCCCCATCCAATTCAGACAAACACAAAGACTTGGCTTGGATAGCACTTTTTCTGTCTGTTATGGCCTTACACACACTCCCCCCACAGCGCTCCCAGAGAGCTCTGTGCTGGCTTGTGTGTGTCCCCTCCCACACTTGTGGTTGCCCCTCTCCCTCCTGGACAGTGACTAACTTGGGGGCAGGGGCTGTGACTTTTGTCTTTGCCTCCCTAGCACCTGGCACAGTGGGTGCCCAGGGCTGGCACTCACTGAATGCTTCCTGAGGAAACGAAGGGTAGGAAAGCACAGCCTCACCCTGCACGGCGGGGGGGGGGGGGGGGGGGGGGGGCGCTGGGAGCCCCGCAGTAACTAGGGCCTCCACAGGTGTGTTTTCAGAGGCACAGCTGGGCTTTTAGGCCAAATGCTCAAGGATGGGGCCATTGCTAGAGACAGGTAAAGAAAAGCTTTCCAATGTGAAGTCTAGATCTTTAGTAAGGGCTACAGCCCACACTGGCTTACTCTTAATGTGCATGAAGCAGGGCCCCCGGGACTTGTCTTCTTGCCCACCCCTGCCCCCCAAAGTTTGGAATTTTCTTCTAACAGTGGTCTAGGCTTCGTTAAGTCTCCCATATTCCTGGCTCAGGGGGCTTACTCTTAATGTGCATGAAGCAGGGCCCCCGGGACTTGTCTTCTTGCCCACCCCTGCCCCCCAAAGTTTGGAATTTTCTTCTAACAATGGTCCAGGCTTCGTTAAGTCTCCCATATTCCTGGCTCAGGTCCCCTCAGAGTCAAGGACTTGTGCATGGGGATGAGCCATCGGAAAGCTGAGTTCTTCGCAAAGTAACTAGCTCATCTGGTGGGTGATCTAAAGTGACCCATGGGGACTATGAGGGCTTGCACCAGAAGGGAAGGGAATGCCAATTAATATATGACAAGTTCATTCTCAAAATAGCTTTATGAGGTCAGAGGTCACCACTGCAGTTCCCTGATGCAGAAACTGGGTTGAGTAACTTCTCTGAGACCCTGCAGCTTGGATGTTACAGAGCTGGGATTCGAACACAGATGTGACACTGCAGCACCCAGTTACATCAGTAATGATGACAAGGAGAGTGATGCTGTGCTTTGCCCGTGTAAATCCTCGGGGCTCACACAAGCACGTTCACATCTCTTGGCCTTCATAAGATCCAGTGTGGGCATCTCTATCCTTATTTCACAGCCCAGGCAATTGAAGGCCTGGAGAGTTTTTAGTGATGTGTTAAGATCATGCACTTAATACATGGCAGAGGCAGGACTTGAACCCAGGTCACTCTTAACTCAGGATGTTTTCTCCAGCAGTGTCCTCCAATCCCACAAACCACACATTCACCAACATGTAACTCCCCATTTCCCCCCTGGGTTTATCCCAGGAGTCGAATGAAGGTAAGGGAGGTGGGTGAGGGAGACTCAGGAGGATTGAGTAACAGAAACACACTTTAGGACTTTCAAAATGAAATGAAAGTTCCAAGTGTCGGTGAAATTGTTCAAATGTTTCTGCCATTTATGATTTTATTCATGGAATATAAACGTTTTTTTCAGCCATATAAACAGTCTGCATTCTAACACTTCTAATATCTAGGACATCTAGAAAATTTGAAACAAAATGTCCAAAGTATAAGGAAATTCTGGCATAATCAGGTGACGTAGTATCATGCAATCATTAAAATGAGGCTCATGGAGAATGGACCAATTAGCTTTATGTAGAGAAATTATGAAGCTTTTTCTTCAAATAAAAAGCTATGTATGATAAAATGTTAAGTGGAAAAAAAGCAGAATGTCTCTTGCTATGATGAAAAGCAGAGTTATTTTATATAGACATAAAAACAGGAAGAGAAGAAAATGGTGACATTTGACATGTGAAGAGGTTGAGGCTCTGTGATTTTTTTTTCATCCAAACATTTCCTTCACTGTGTTTAAACACTTCTATAATTAAAACAATCAGGAAAACTTGTATGCACTGGGGGGGATTCGACTATAACTTTCATCACGAGCATGTTCTTTGGGCTCTGGGAAACCTCAGCCACAGTCTTCTAGAAATTCCTCAGTCCTTTTTCTCCTTTCTTTCGCAAACAGTGCATGAGGGCCCCTACTGGAACAGGTACCATCTCAGGTGTGAGAGATAGGCAGATAAAGACGTGGTGCCTGCACCTAAGAATTCACAGCCTTATCAAAGGCCGATGTTAAAATAAATGTGGCGGTCCCAGATGACAGGAACTGTTAAAAGTGGTCTGGCCAAGGGCTCTATCTGGAAGGAGAGAGGAGGGAACGACTGCCCGACTTGCAGGAGTCAAGGAGGGCTTCCCAGAAGAGGAGACTCTGGAGATGAGTCACAAAGAAGGAGTAGGAGATCACCAGGTGGGGCTGGTGGGGAGGGCCGGGACATTCTGGGTGAGTGGGAGCCCCAAAGCATGAGACCAGAAGGCACACATGGAGAATGTCAGTTTGCTGGGGCAGCAGGCGTAGGATGCACGCTATACTGGGTAGAAAATGAGAAACGTGGGACAGAGCTGGCTGATGGAAGGCCTGGTAGGTCATGCCAAGGAAGTGAGACTGTCCCCTTTGGCGACACTTACCCGCTCCAACAGGAGTACTTTCCCACCAGCATCAGTGACCATTACCTGTAGCCGCCTCATGGCCTCTGAATCCTGGTCGGCTTTCACCTTGCAGGCCACGAGCAGCTGAGCCGTGGAAGCAGCGACCTGCTTGGCGGACGAGATGAGCTTCTCCTCACTGGCATGTCCCTGAACGGAGGCATTGGCTGCCTCACAGAGACTGCTGGTTGCACCTGCCACCATCCGGGCCTGGGGACAGTCAGTAGAGAAGTGACCCAGGGCCCGAACCTCCCTCAGGGCACCCAAAAAGCAATCGGGAAGGAAGGAGGAGGTGACTCACGGCAGAAATCAGCCCCTGGGACCACTGTCCGTCATCGGCAGCGTTGGCAGGGATGGAACCCACCTAGAGATGGAGGGCAGAAACCAGGAATGAGCGCTGGAGAGCGCGGCGGGACCTGCAGCCCCTCACACTCTACCTCGCTCTGGAACTGGAGAGAAAAACATCTCTTCAGACACACAGCACCACCAGCATGAGAACGGGACGCCCTTGCTGCCCCTCCAAGACTGTGCCCGCACATGCTGGCTGGGGTCCCTCTGGGCCCCGAGGACTTGATCCGAGACACTCAGAACGGCCACCATTTTGTTGCAAGGTAGTGTTTCCGGGCAAACTGCGCAGGAATGGCGGATCGGGGCTGTCCTCCCACGCTTCTTTCCTCTGCCAACCTTTCTCCATCTCAAAACACAGGAGCCACCAAGGCCTCTTCTTTCAGGGGCCAAGGGAAACTCACATCTCTCCTGATTGCTGACCCTAAAGCCATGCTGTGACTTTCTGGCAGGTGATGGGGGGGAAAAAGGCCGCTGGTGCCTTTCCTTCAGTGCAGCTGATGGCAGAAGCTTGCCTTAAGGAAATTCAGACTGTTTTGTCAGGGGTTGGGAGAGAAGTAGAAAGCTAGACGTTAAGATGATCTCTGTTTCTATTTAGAAATTACAGCAACAAGTGAAACATTTTCTGTCCAGATGCAGAGGGAATGGCTTTGGGAGGCAAAACCTTTACATGGTGGGAGGTGCCTGGGGAGGTCAGAGAAGAGTACCTCAATTTGAATATGAAATTAGGGATCTGTCAGCAATTATTAGGCACTATACCAAGGCTCGGTGAACATCAGATAAAACCCCAAGGTCCTGTCTACAAGCCTGTAGTTCACCCAAGTCCCGTGGGGCCTCCTTTACCAACTTTCTAAATGCTTGAATATATTCAACAAATGCTTGAACAAGTTAGATTCTCTTAGTACTAGCAATTTGGCACACGGTCGGTCCTTTATCAAGAGACTGGAATTTTTAGGTAGGATATTCTTCTCAACGATCCATTTTTAGCCTTTACATATTGATTGGTCAGCAAGTACTTAAGTGAAGTCAGCCCTCTGCCACATCTACAGGGCATAAGTGAGAAGCACGAAGGGACAGACTGCATGCCAGTGAAGAGACAGACATACCCATGTTAATAACAAACAATACAACACACGACGGTGTAGAAACAGGAGCCGCAGTATGTGGGTTGGATTAGGACAAGGTTTAGCTCACGAGAGACTTCGTGAAGGAAGATGGATGGCCACTGGTTGGGCATAACTTCCTGCTGTACTACGAGTTCTGAGGTCAAGGCACAATCATATTTGTCTACTTGTACACTGACAGCAAGGCCTTTTAATATCAAACAGAAGTAACTGACAATTACGGTGACCAAACTCCCCAAACCCACAACCTGACGGGATTTCTGTAGTGCCTCCAGATTCGAGAGGCTCTCCGCAAGATGCAATTTGGATGGAGTCATTCCACAGTGTATGGGAACAACACACGTAATATTTTAAACTGGGAGACCCTCCCAGATGCAGCATTAGTCTAATAGACCATTAATCCTTTGGGTCACTGAAACAGAACTATGCTTTCATGCTAATGCAGATGGAATGGGTGACTGGGGATGAGGCAGATCAAAGAAATCTCAGACTTAAAACCAGACTGACCTTTTGATCAATAGGCTCAGGAAAATGCTAACTGCAGAGCTGGAGAGCATGTCGCTACACAGTTCTAAAGAACGGACTGAGCATTGAAGCTGGAAAACGGTATTACGAAGCCCCTGACTCTGATGCTCCCAGAGCCATCCACTAGGAAAATATGACAGTTTACATCTTTAAATAGCTTCATATACAGTGAGAATATAAATGTCTTGTTTGGGGCCTGATCGCGGCCTGGAACGGGATGCTCTCCTTAACAAGAAGCAGATGATTGGCCCAGAAGCCAAACCCTTCATTCTGGATGTCAGGTTTAAGCAAACAGAGTTTTTAGTCAGATGGGGCAGAGATGGGCAATTCAGGGAGGGAAGGCCCGGCACCGGTGGCCTCGGGCCAGGCCACAGGCCGTCCCATCTCCTCGGCCCTCAGAGGCTCTCACCGTGTGAAGGTTCCAGCACCTGGCCAGCGAGGCTCACCCACCTTTCCTTGGGCCACCAGCTCCCTCTGGGCTGCCGAGGCCGACTTGACCAGGGCACTTGTGGCAGCAGCAATGGATTTAGCAGCTTCCAGAATCTGTTCTTCAAAGTCCAGGGTCTCGTCTGCTTGCTAGAACAGAAGAAGACAACATCATGTGCCATTCGCATCCACGAAGGGCACTTTTTGCCAAACTACTTACTTCTTGGTCACCTGGCTCTTCATCCGTTTCTGACTGTTTGGCTGACACACCATACCCAGGTGGAAAGGCCTAAGCTGGCGAAACGCCTCTCCATCAGCTGCCTCCTGCTACCTTGGTTCTAAGAGGTGCCAGCTGCTAGTGGTGGCATTCTACACACATTTCCCATCAGGAAGGTCTAAGACAGACTATTTTTCTAGACCAGAGTCTTTAAACAGACATAAATTCACTGTGAATAAAATATGATCAAATGGTCCCATGGGCATCAATAACCAAAATTTAAATAATCAATCATCACAATCTAAGGCTCAAAAATGGGCTGAAGAAAGGAAAGGTGGCTATTCGTTGTGAAAAGCCTTATTTTTCTTGTATTTGTAAAACAAAAGTGAAAACGCATTTGTACTCTTTGTGGCTGAGCAGGGAGAGTTCCGTACCAACTGCAGATCACCAGAGGCGGGAAAGACACCGAGGTGACATGACATGGAGGTGGAGCTGTTGTACACTGGGGAAGGGCACTGTCCCCCCCACCCCCACCCCCGGCCCCTTGCAGGTGCTGTCAGGCCGTGAGGGCTCTGCTCCAAGTTCACCAGCACCGTGCCCCGTGCCACCAGAACAAGCCGGGAAGCTGGAGAGAAACGCTGGTAAGTGTGGCAAGTGTAAGGACCTTAGTCCCGGGCTGGCTGGGATGCAGCATCACCATCTGGGGTGGTCAGACTAGATGCCCTCCTCCAGGTCCCCTTAGGACTCACGTTCTGTGAACCTAAGTAGGGTTAAGGTCCCCTTTGGTTAAAGAAGGTTGACGATGGGGCTGGTATCTTTCAGGCATTGCAGTGATGGTCAGCTAGAGTATTACTTTTCTTTATGTGCCAAAAAAAATAGATAAAATTTACCCTGTGAACCAATTTTAAGTGTATAATTCAGTGGCATTAAGTACATCCGCAACGTTGTACAACAGCAATATGTTTTTTAAGAGCAGCTACTATGTGCCAAGGGTCTTGTTAGGCATTCCACGTATGTTACTTGTTTAATTCGCACCAAGCCAGAGAAAAATAGATCTTATACTGTATAGTCATCCTTATAGTCACAGTGAGAAAATTGAGGCTCAGGGAGGTAGAGTGTTGGGACAAGGTCACGTGGCAGCATGATTCCAGACTCCAAACCAGATCTAAACCTCAATCTCTCTGACTCCGTAAGGATGTTTTTACTAGCCTGCTCACCCCTGGGGCATCAGTGAGGACTAACTTATCAGAGGCTCAGAGTTGGCCACTTATGGTCCCATAGGAAACATCAGGCAGGATGGATACATAGGTACATTTTTTTCCCCAGCTCCTATTCGTTATGGTTGCATCTTGAACTATGAGAGATGCCAAGCTCATTTTTATTTTCACAACTCTGTTGTTATCATATAACATTTCAGGGCACATCTAGGGACTCTGATGAAGGATGCCAGCATTTTAGAAGTTCGTGGACAGAAGCCATATATTCTTTCTTATCGGACAAAGTCTTGCTCTAGGAGCATTCAGGGCAGAAATGGATTCAGTTGCCGTGGATTCATTCTGGAGAAGGGGAGCTTACAGTGCTGGTGGAGTATAAAATGTGTTTACTGAAACAGAAAGACAGCTCATTATAAGACTCTTATAGGTACTGCATAAAGGTACTGTCACACAGAGGCTCCGAAGAAATTGCATTAGGCTCTGATATCTATGGATATCTATTCAGTGATGCTGGTTTAAGAGCCTTTTTGGAAATTCATTCAACAAAAGAAACTCAAGCGTGTAACCAATTAAGGTACCAGGGAAACCACGTAAGTGTTGAACCCAAAGGGTGCCCCTTCCACTGGGGCAGAGGAAACGGAAGCCAATGGTGGCTACTTAATGTGTCCCAGATCCTTGTCTCAGGCAGCCTCCAAGGTGTATGGAGGACCCCATCAGATTTCAGATTTCCCAAATTTTAGGACCCATAAAAATGGAATTTTCTTTTTTTTTTTTTAATTTTATTTATTTATTTGGCAGAGAGAGAGACAGCGAGAGCAGGAACACAAGCAGGGGGAGTGGGAGAGGGAGAAGCAGGCTCCCCGCCGAGCAGGGAGCCCGATGTGGGACTTGATCCCAGGACCCTGGGATCATGACCAGAGCCGAAGGCAGACACTTAACGACTGAGCCACCCAGGCGCCCCAAAAATGGAATTTTCTTAAAATTAAATGCTAACTCTAAGCATGGATAGATCTGACAGAATCATCTTGTTCCAACCAATTTTACAGGCCTCGCCCACATCTTCCATTGCCCTGAAGGTTTTTTTTTTTTTTTTTTTTTTTTTCCTAGAACACATACTTGAAATAGATATTCAGCTTGGAAATATTTTTGACACCCACAGATTTTTCTTGCAATGGCAACTGGTATAAATGCCCACTGATGAATTTTTGTTTTTCTTTCTATAACATCTCTATGCTTTAAAAAGGACATGGCAGAAAGCCTCATCTCTGGGGGACACTTGCTCTGACTAAAAAGTACTAGAGAGTTTCCCAAGAAAGGCTGAGTAAAGCTGAATGGGATGACTACAGGGGCTGAGGGCTAATGTTTAGACACTGTAGGCCAGGTTTATCACTAAGACTAAACGCCCACCTCTCTCTCCTGCTGGAAATAAACATCAACACCCGGTATCTCCTCATGCCATACACAACTTCTAGCCTATAAGATGGGATTCTCCCCGAGCCAAGCAGACTCGGAAATTTCGAAGTGTCCCCGTCAGGGCTGCCCGTCTGCTTGGCTCCCACCAGCACACGCCATGGCATCTGGGAGGAGGATGTAAGTGCTACAAAGAGAAGGGCGCATGTTCCACCGTGATGCAGAAGAGGAAAGAAGCAGAATGGGCTTGGTCTTCAAAGGACCTTCCTACGGAAAAGGATCACAGCAAAACTGCAGGATTTGTCAACAGAATAAACCTCACTGTAGCTGGGAGATGGAGAACAATGAGGATAGTAATGTGGAGCTGTCACAAGGAGACCCTGAAGAATCCTGAGACCCAGGGTGCCATGAACTTAAGAAAATGCTTTCATTACGTGGGCTAATAAACCAACAGCCCTCCCTCAGAATCACCCAAGGATCTGGTTAAAGATGCAGATTGTGTTTCAACAGGTCTGTGGTGGGGCCTGTGAATCTTCATTCCTAATGGAGGTGGGCTACTCCATGGGAAATGCTGGCCTGGGTGAAGGAAAATAGACCCCAGTTAACTGAAGCCTACCAGCCTGTCCTCTTCCAGGGCACGGACTGTGTTTTATTCAACTGATGCGCTCTCTCGAGCACACAATCAGGCAGTGTAGACAACATGGTAAATGTTTGCCGAATGAATGTATCCATTCAAAAGGGGTCTCCCAAGTTCTAGAGTTCAGCCAGGGGACAATTTACATGCTTGGAGAAGGAGAAATGCACTGAGTAAGCGTCCACATCAGTAACTGTCCATTCTGTGTTCCCTGGGCGGGGGAAGGCACACACATCTATGTGCTGGCTCCTGCCCTGTTTAAGGCCGGGGGCTGTTACTTGTACGCCCTGCCTGCACCCCTTAACCTGCATTCACAGCCTGTTGTGACACTTACTCATGCATATACAGAGGTAAACAGCATTCCCAGCATTTTGCAAAGGGGTTCTCTTAGCAAAGCAGCGCTGAGGGAAAGAGTACCAGATGTGCAAACTGAGAATCTGCTCTGCTTCATGAACGTGTTGGCTACAGCCTCTGAGTGCTGAATCTGTCTTCTCATCCTCTGTTCAGTGTCCTTTTCCCTGTTCCTTTCCCCTGTGAGAAGGCCACTGGCCAGCTCACCACCAGCTCTCACCAGCTGTCTTTCCTGGACTGCCCACTGAACTTCAGCAGAGGATGGGCTTATCCTCACCTTCGCCTTCTGGTCTGCGAGAAAGGTCCAGGCACCCGTTTGCTGGTATTTTTCCTCTTTGGTGATCCCCTGCAGAGCTTCTCTTTCTTAAAAAGTTAGAGGTCTGCTGAGGTCCCTCTGGGGAGAGGCCACATTTTCAGCTGGCTCCCTTGTTGCCAGCTTCCTGTCTTGCTCTGATCGGTCTAATGTCTCAGGAGCTTGAGTTCCACTGGGGTAGGAGGTGGGGACAGAGGAAGGGAAAGGGGAGGCCTCTCCTCATTTTTATTTTGCCTTTTGGCCTTTTAGGGATTCTGAGGACATAATCTTTGCAGTAATTCATTCATTTCCTGAAGCTGCCTTCCTTCCTACCTCTCTGTTAGGGGTGCTATAGGTAAATTATAAATATATGTAGAGCAATACTGACCCATAGTAAATGCTCAATAACTCCTCGCAATTAATTTCATTATTACTTCCCTTCCTACATATATTCCGTGGTTTTATTTTTTTATATTTTATTTTGTTATGTTAGTCACCATACAGTACATCATTAGTTTTTGCTGTCGTGTTCCATGATTCATTATTTGCATATAACACCCAGCGCTCATTATAACTCTTGTGGTTTTAAAAATTGTTTTTTAGACTCTGGGCTAAGCTAGTCTGGCTCCTGCCTCATTTAAGGCCTGTGCAGGCTGACAAGTGCTGCCGTTTTTCTCTCTCTGGACCATTTTCCACTCATAATTGGGAGAAAGTTTCTAACTGCCATTTCTGATGATAGCCTAAAATAATTATAAGTAAAAACCATAAACCAAAGATGAACGGAGGGTCAAGTAACAGACGCTACAGACCGGCGCTGCTTCCACCCTCTCCCTCAACACCCAGACAGGAGATGGGCCCTCTGGGCTCTAAGGCAGCGCCCTGCACGTCCTGACCATCAATCGGGTTTCCGTTAGTAGCTTAAGGAGGAACCTCAACTCTCCCGGTCCTTTAGCTTAGACGTGTTACAATTCCAAATGAAACCTTTCTTCATTAAGAAGGTGCTGGCTAAAATAAGCAGGTGCTACTTTTTCT